GCCAGCCCCGCTCGCGGGACCGAGCCCGTTGCGCTTCGAGTCTCTGCCAGTTCCGCTGCCCGACCCAGGCGGAGTCCAGGATCTTGGCGTGTGAAGATCATGTCGCGGTGATGGCCCGCGTCGGGTGGCCTGGGGGCCCCCAGTGGGTCATCTTCCTCGGGGGGATCGGGGGGGCGAGTGAACCCAACACCGACCTCGAATGTCACGTCTGCAGCCCCGTGGCGACGACGTTTGCTTGTGCGTTGACCCAGACGGGCCCTCGCCGTCTCCGCAGGTGAGCAGCGCGGGGCGCGCTTGAGGGCTGCTTGGAAGAGCTGTTGCAGCGCCCGCCCCTCGGCAGCCAGGAGTTTTGTGACCCAGTAGCAACTATCGCAGCTGCCGCGTCACGTGTGGGCGACGCTCGCGCCTTGGCAGGGGGTACCCGTCGGGGGAAAGGCCCGCCCTCAATCGGTGAAACTGTTGCACATGTTTGGAACACATGCGCGCGGCGCTACGGCGAAAAACACATCTGGAAAACGGTCCGCCCTCAAGCCTTCAAGATCTAGCAAATTTGTATAACGAATATGGGGGGCGCGAGCGCGAGAGCCACATTTTGAAAACGCCCCGCCCTCAATCCGTGAAGTTCTTGCAAGCGTTGGAACGAAATGCGCGCGGCGCGAAGCGAAAACCACATTTTGGGAACGGCCTGCCCTCCATGTGTGGCGCTGTTGTCACTGTCTAGGCTTCAGGGGCATAAGTGGTGAGGACATCTCAGGCGAAACGCCGGGCCCGCCCTTTCGACCGGCCTCGGGGTGCGACACGGAGGAGTTATTCATAAGGAAGAGGAATGGAGGATAATGGGGGAGAGGAACAAGTAGAGGGCGAACAGGTTTGCACGAGGCCGCTTGAATGCCTCTCGGGGTCTAGTCGGATGTGTGTTTTGTGTGTCTCTCGGGGTCCTCTTGGAGCGTTTTGGGTGCGTCGGGGGAGATTTTTCGAGTCAATTGGGGGTTTCTTGGTGGCCTCTCGAGTACCTCCTGCAAGCCTTTCGGGGCCTCCTGGGCGCCTTTTGGGGCCCTCTCGGGGCAGTCTGTGGAGCCTCAGGGGCCATCTTGGGGCCACCGTGGAGGAGATCGATCAAAGAAGGGGGTGGGGGGAGTTGAGGTACCCTTTTCCTGGAGGCCGGACCAATGTTTTTTTCGTTTTTCCGCCAAGGCCACCTTGGATGCTCCACCGGGTCGCGAACCTCCCCGCCCAGGTCCAGGGGGAGTGGGTATGGGGGAGGGGCAGTGCCTCCCCGAAAGGGAGAATGGAAGATGGAAAATGACAGACACCCGGTGAACCACTCACGCAACAAAGGGTTGGTGGACTCCGGATCAGGAGGGGGTGGATGGGCTGGTTCAGCAGGGGGCGCGTGAGGAGGTGGATGAGGAGGAAGGGGCGAGGAGTCCTTGTCCCCTGTCGCCCCCCAGGTGAAGCCGCAGGTGGCACCAGGCGGCCTTGTCCGGCTCGTGAAGGTCGACGGAAAGGCCGGCGCTGTGCGTTGGGCGGTCGGGTTCAGATCTCCTGCTGCTGTGAGGCGTCGGCAGCATCGCCACTGCGATCCCATTCTTTTCCCCTCGCTTCATCTGTCTTGGCTCATTCGTGTTTCCGTGTGGGTGCTCGTTGACTTGTGGCCTAGGTGGCCGCGTGAGGGGCCAGCCCGTTGGGCCTGATCTGAGGCTGTTGTGGCAAGGCTATTTGTCGCACGCGCACGCAGCATGTGGGGGCACCTGGCATCAAACCGAAAACATCTGCAGCAGAGGCTGCCAGATGCCACGCTGAAGAGAGGGCTTCTCCCCGTCAGCAGGCCTTCCGCGCGGCTTCAGGAACGCCGCTGCTGGACCTCTCGTGCTTGGGGGCCTGTCGTGACGCCGCGTCCGTCCAGCTTCTAAGTCGAGTCCCTTCCGTTCCGGCTCCGCCCTGCATTTGCTGGCAGCAGATTGTCGAAGCTGGTGCTGCGATGGTCGAGGAGGAGGAGGAGGAGGAGGAGGAGGAGGAGGAGGAGGAGGAGGAGGGGGAGGAGGAAGAAGAGCGGCGGTTCAGGGGCGGCGCAACGCCGATGGCGCCGAAACTTTTCGTAGAATAGCGAGGTGCATGTGCTCGGAGGTCATGCTTGAACGTCAAGTGTTAAACAACAACGAATACTGTGTATGCGTCTCCCCAGCAGCCTGCCCGAAACTTTTGCAGGTGGCCCGCAGAGGGGCAATTGCCGCTTCCGCCCAAGTCCCGCCCGAGCTTCGCTCGCCGTCGCCGTCACCGTCGCCGCCGTCGCCGTCGCCGTCGCCGTCGCCGTCGCCATCGCCGTCGCCTTCGCCGTCGCCGTCGCCGTCGCCGCCGCCGCCGCCGTCGTCGTCGTCGTCGTCGTCGTCGTCGTCGTCGTCGTCGTCGTCGCTGTCGCTCCATCGCAATTGCTCCGTCGCTGACGTTGTCGTCGTCGTGGTGGTCTTCAGGCCAAGGGGAAGCCGCAGCCCGTTCAGGCGGGGCCTCCCGCCGAGAGGGGGTGACGATGGGAGTAAGACGGTGGGATGTCATGCTCAGCATCTATACCACCTGCGACGGGGTCAGCAAGTAGTCAAGTACCAGGATTCGCAAGAGGAGGCAGATGATGTCTCTCTGGGCCAGCAGCGTTGATGATGAAGATGATGATGGATGTTCAGATTACGATAACGGTGATGATTATGATTTAGGGGTATGATGGTGATGGTGATGGTGATGGTGATGGTGAGGGTGATAATGATGACGATGATGATAACGATGACGACGATTATCAAGACGAAGACGAAGGCGGCGATGATGATGATGATGATGATGATGATGATGATGATGATGACGATGCGATGATGATGATGATGATGATGATGATGATGATACTAATGATACTGATGATGCTGCTGCTGCTGATGATGATGCTGCTGCTGCTGCTGCTGATGATGATGATGATGATGATGATGATGATGATGATGGCGACGATGCTGCTGATGCTGATGATGCTGACGATGCTGCTTATGCTGATGGTGATGATGCTGATGATGATGGTGATGTTGCTGATGAGGCTGATCCTGATGCTGATGCTGTCGATTATGATGATGATGATGACGATGACGATGCCGATGCCGATGCCGATGACGATGGCGATGTTGATGATGACGATGATGGTGATGCTGGTGGTGATGATGATGTTGATGATGATGTTGGTGATGATGATGATGATGATGATGATGATGATGATGTTGATGCTGATGATGATACTGATGATGCTGGTGATGATGCTGATGAAGATGCTGCTGATGATGACGATTATGCTGCTGATGATGCTGCTAATGGTGATGATGCTGATGATGATGGAGATGTTGATGCTGATGATGCTGCTGATGCTGCTGATGATGCTGATGATGATGCTGATGATGATGCTGCTGATGCTGCTGACGATGATGATGTTGCTGATGATGATGAGGCTGGTGCTGATGCTGATGATGATGAGATGATGATGAAGCTGCTGTTGCTGATGCTGATGCTGATGATGATGGTGATGATGATGATGCTGCTGATGCTGATGCTGATGCTGTTGATGATGATGATGATGCTGATTATGATGATGATAATGATGATGATGATGATGATGATGATGATGATGATGATGATGATGCAGATGCTGATGCTGATGCTGCTGATGATGATGACGACGACGGTGGTGATGGTGGTGATGGTGAGATGGTGATGGTGTTGGTGATGATGATGATGATGATGATGATGATGATGATGATGATGATGATGATGATGATGATGCTGATGATGGAGATGATGATGATGATGCTGCTGATGATGATGATGATGATGATGGTGGTGGTGATGATTGATGATGATGATGAATGATAAATGAGATGATGATGATGATGATGACGATGATGATGATGATGCGATGATGATGATGATGATGATGATGACGATGATGATGATGACGATGATGATGATGATGATGATGATGCTGATGATGATGATGATGATGATGATGATGATGATGATGATGATGATGATGGTGATGACGATCTCCCGCAGCTGCGTCTCGTCGAGATGCCGTCAGGGAATGCCTCGATCATCCCGAACGGCCGTCGGAGACGCGAGTGATGAAGCCGAATGTCGGACAAGGAGGGAGGAGGAGGAGGGAGGAGGAGGAGGAGGAGGAGGAGGAGGAGGAGGAGGAGGAGGAGGAGGAGAGGAGGAGGAGGAGGAGAGGAGGAGGAGGAGGAGGAGGAAGGGAGGAGGAGGAGGAGGTGGGTGGAGAGGAGGGAGGTAGGAGGAGGAGGAGGAGGAGGAGGAGGGGAGGAGGAGAGTAGGAGAGGAGGAGGAGGGAGGAGGAGGAGGAGGAGGAGGAGGAGGAGGAGGGGAGGGAGGAGGAGGAGGAGGAGGAGGAGGAGGAGGAGGAGGGGAGGGAGGAGGAGGAGGAGGAGGAAGGAGGCGGCCGGAGGAGGAGGAGGAGGAGGAGGAGGAGGAGGAGGATGAGGAGGAGGGGGAGGAGGAGTAGGAGGAGGAGGGGGAGGAGGAGGGGGAGGAGGAGGCATAGGACAGGACAGGAAGTCTGCGCGCCTGCTCTGGCGGCCGGAGCGGCAGGCCCAGGAGGGATCACGTCTACCCCCCATCGCCGTTTCGGATCGCTGATAGAGGCCCGACAGCCCCACCCTGCCCAGGAACGCACGGATTCGCCATCGGGGGCCTGTCGCCGATCTGTCGGCGATGTACCGCTGATTCCGCGTCGAAGTTTGTCCCCCCCCCCTCCACCCCTTGGGCTGGCCCCCCCGCGAAAGTCGCCCCTCGCCTCCGCCCCAAGTGCTTGAGGCTTCTTCTCTAATCGGACTGCGGGGATCAGGCGATGCGTGGGGAGACGGGCCAGCGCAACTCGATGCAACGCCAGACATGTCGAAGTAGCTCCAGAGATGTCCAGGCAAGTGTGGCCCACGTCGTGGAAGCTCCAGCGTGTCGAGAGACACCAGAAATCGTGAAGTCCTGAACCACCTCCCACCCGTCCCCTGGCTGGGTGCCGCCGCCGAGGATTGCGTTGCCAAGACGACCGAGATGGCATCGATAAATCCAATATTGGCCCAAGGTTGCCCAAAGATGGCCTAAGAGGTCCCCTGAGAGGCCTGCAGGACGGCTCCTCCCCGCTGGTGGCAGGACAGCCGTGCTCCAGGGTGGGTGAGAGCGACGGCTCCCCGCCCCCCGCTCTCGGTTTTCCTTGCGCCCCCGCAGTCTTTTTTCCCGGAAAGGGCCTGGGCCCAGGGTTCTCTTTTAGTAGGTAAACCTGTCCCCCGGTGCCAACTTGAGGGAGGCCGGCGAATTTTTTCCCTGATAAATAACGAGGTCGAAGGAGGCCGGCGAATAAAAATTTGAGGATGTCTCGAGCGAAACGCTTGTTTTTCAGAATTTCTTGAGGATGTCTCGAGCGAAACGCTGGTTTTGCAGAGTTGGGGATGTCTCGAGCGAAACGCTTGTTTTCAGAATTTGCTGAGGATGTCTCAAGCGAAACGCTGGTTTTGCAGAGCCGACTGCGACGCGGAAAAGCGCCCCGCGCGAAGGAATTTCGATGATGTCTCGACTAATTCGTTTGTTTTTGTACGATTTCCTGGAATTTTGGCAGGATGTCTCGAGCGAAATGCACGACCCCACCGCACGACACGCCCCAGCACGACCACACCCCAGCACGAACACACCTCAGCACGACCACACCCCAGCACGACCACACCCCAGCACGACCACACCCCAGCACCAGCACGACCACACCCCAGCACGACCCGATCGCAGCACGAGCACGCCCCAGCAAGACCACACCCCAGCACGACCACACCCCAGCACGACCTCACCACAGCACGACCACACCCCAGCACGACCACGCCCCAGCACGACCACGCCCCAGCACGACCACGCCCCAGCACAACCACCCCCCAGCACGACCCCCCCCCCAGCACGACCACCCCCCAGCACGACCACCCCCCAGCACGACCACACCCCAGCACGACCACTCCCCAGCACGACCACACCCCAGCACGACCACACCCCAGCACGACCGCACCCAGTCGCACCCCCGTGGAATGTTTCGTGGCGTGTCTGGTTGAGTGGTTGCCTGTTCGTGGGGTGTCTCGTGGAATGTTTCACGGGGTGTCTCGTGGAATGTTTCGTGAGGTGTCTCGTGGAATGTTTCGTGAGGTGTCTCGTGGGGTGTTTCGCGGGTGGCACGACGACGCTCCAGCACGACCACCCCCCCAGCCACGACCACCCCCAGCACGGCCACCCCCCCAGACGACCACACCCAGCACGACCCACCACCCCAGCACGACCACATTCCCAGCACGACACTCCCCAGCAACGACCACACCCCAGCACGACCACACCCCAAGCACGACCACCACCCGGTTTCGACACCCCCGTGGAAGTTCGTGGCGTGCCTGGTTTGAGTGGTTGCCTGTTCCGTGGGGTGCAGCGGAAGTTCAAAGGAGTGGTGTTCGTGGAATGTTCGGAGGTGTCTCGTGGAATGTTTTCGTCACGAGGTATGGTCTCGTGGGATGTTCGTCGGGTGGTAGAATTGTTATCAGAATGTAGATGTCGCCCAGTTGGGTATCGTGAAAACGTGACATGCTGACAAGTCTTTATACCTTTTGCGGGTTCCGGGGTCCATTCATGTTTTCCCGGAAAGGGCTTTGGCCCAGGGTTCTCTTTTAGCATGTAAACATGTCCCCGGTGCCAACTTGAGGGAGGCCGGCGAATTTTTTCCCTGATAAATAACGAGGTCGAAGGAGGCCGGCGAATTTAAATTTGAGGATGTCTCGAGCGAAACGCTTGTTTTTGAAATCCCGATCGATAAATCACAGGGTGCGGAACACCTCAGCACGACCACACCCCCAGCATGACCACACCCCAGCACGACCACGCCCAGCACGACCACGCCCCAGCACGACCACACCCCAGCACGACCACACCCCAGCACGACCTCACCCCAGCACGACCACACCCCAGCACGACCACACCCCAGCACCAGCACGACCACACCCCAGCACGACCCGATCGATAAATCACAGGGTGCGGACCACCCCAGCACGACCACACCCCAGCACGACCCCATCCCAGCACGACCCCACCCCAGCACGACCACGCCCCAGCACGACCACACCCCAGCACGGCCACACCCCAGCACGACCACACCCCAGCACGACCCCACCCCAGCACGACCCCACCCTAGCACGACCACACCCCAGCACGACCACACCCCAGAACGACCACACCCCAGCACGACCCCACCCAACCACGACCCCACCCCAGCACGACCACACCCCAGCACGACCACACCCCAGCAGGACCCCACCCCAGCACGACCCCACCCCAGCAAGACCACACCCCAGCACGACCACAGCCCAGCACGACCTCACCACAGCACGACCACACCCCAGCACGACCACGCCCCAGCACGACCACGCCCCAGCACGACCACGC